CCACAGAGGGGACCGGGCAGGAAGATGGGGACCACCAAGGCGGCACGGGGTGCACATCCAGACCTCGGGGCAGCCCTGGGATGAGACCGGCCCCTGGTGACTCTGGAGGCCAGAGGTGCACAAACCAGGCCCCCCGCGGGAGCCCTGTGAAGGGCCGGGCACCCCCTTCTCACCCCGAGCACCTGGCTTCCCGAGGCGAGGCCCCTGCACTCCTCCCCCCACGCCCACCGCCACATGGCGGCTTGTTCTTCTTGGTGCCAGTGCAGGGCCTTTAACCGAGGGCCTCGCGCTCCGAGTGGCTCTCCCCACTCGAGGCTGGCGCTCCACCACCAGTGCCGCGGCACCACGTCCACGTCCTCTCCACCCTCACCACCGCAGACACCTACGTAGGACGGGGCCGGGGCCACGGCCCTGAGGGTGAGTCACACGGGCCTCCGGCCGTCTCCACGCAGCCCGCGACAGGGGTGCCCCCCGTGCCCCCCCCCCGCAGCTCCGGCATCCACGGAGCCCAGGCTGCCTCCCCACAGGCTGCCAGATCCCCAGATCCAGGGGACCCCCAGCAACCCCCACACGTTCCCCAGGGACTTGGGGAGATGCCAAGGCTTGGGCACCACTGCAGTAGCAGAGAAAGCCTCTGTGCACACCACTGCACACACGTGCACATGCGCACACACGTGTACATGTATGGACAGGCACACATGAGCATGTGTGCATACTCGTGGGTACATGCACATACATACACGCACAGAGGAGGTGCCACTGAAAACAATGTATTTAAGGGGTGGAGGCATGGCTCACTTGGTAGAACGCCAGCCAAACAGCGAAAACATCTGGTACCAAGCGCGAGTCCTGGTCTTGGGTGTTAAAAAAAAAAAAAAAGCAGAGCTAAGCCGGGTGCCAAGGCTCACGCCTGTAACCCTAGCTGCTGAGGAGGCTGAGATCTGAGGATCGCAGTGTGAAGCCAGCCTGGGCAGGCAAATCTGTGACTCCTGTCTCTGACTAAGCAGCAAAAAGCCAGAAGTGGAGCTGTGACTCAAGTCGTAGAGCTCAGGGACAGCGCCCAGGCCCCACCGCCAGCACCTGGGGACCTCAACCCTCTTCTAAGTAGGGAAGAGGCCCATGATGAGGCCACCCAGCAGCTGTCGCCGCCCCGCATGCAGCTCCCCGGCCTCCAGGGACAGGTGACCAGCCAGGAACCACGGGTGCAGGGCCCTGGGCCAGAAGTGGGGGAGAGGGATCCCAGAGGACGGCGGCCACTGCCAGAGCCTGGGAGGAGAGGGGCCTGGCCACAAACCATCCCTAGTGGGATGACTCTCCACCTCCTCCCTGCCCTGCCTCTTCCCACCCAGCCACCACGCCCTTCCCAGCATCCTCTGCCCGGAGCGGAGCCTGGGTCATGTGACCACCAGAAAGCCGTCCTCCTCCCACTGCCCTCCCCGCCCAGGGCACAGACGCAGCCTGCGGGCGGGGCAGCCACTGTGAACCCACATTTTCGACAGGCGGTGGGGTGTTCCCTGTGCATCCACTGAAAGAAAGCAAGAGAAGAGAGAGAGGGACGTTCCTGCTCCGCACACGGCCTCCTGATGGGAACCTTCTAGAAAGTTCCGGACCCTCCTCGGCCCATTCAGCCGGGGACTCTGGGCTGGGGCTGGGGCGGTGTCCCAGGAAGTCTTCCGGGGGCTCCAGTGAAGCCCCTTGGTGGCCCTGAGGCGGGGCCGGGCCTTGGAAGTGGGTCCAGCCACAGTGTGGCCACTGCCAGGTCCAGACCTCCCAAGTCACCACTGAGACGAACAGGTGGAAGCCACAACCTGCGGGGGGGGGGGGGGGGCGCAGCTCACCTGGGGCTCACCTGGCGGCAGGTGGCAGGTGGCAGGTGAGCCTGCACAACCTTGGCTCCTCCCGGCCTCCCGCAGGTGTGGCCGCCCGGAAGGCACGGCCGAGGCCATCCGCTGCCCACTTGGACATCAGAGCGCTGCCTGAACCCCACCGCTCCTCTAAGTCTCCTGCGGGTGTGCTGGCCTCCTGCCTTCCCCCCCCCCCCCCCCTTAAAGCAAGGAATTGTTTGAACCTTTGAATAAGAACCACCCATTATCTCCAGACCAGAAACCCAATCCAGGCTGTTGGCGGGAAGGGGAGCCCCGCTGCGTGGCGTGCAGAGACCACAAGAAAGGCCCCACGCCCGCAGGCTAAGGCCCGCTCCCGGACCCAGCAACAGACTGGGCCGGGGCCTGGACTCCAGCCAGCTGCCTGAGCCCAGGGTGAGTGGGGAGCAGGGGGCCTCGGGAAAGGGCCGGACACCCCCACACCCGTGCCCCCCGCCTCAGCATCCCGCCCCGTCCACACATTGTTTCACCCGTGTCTCCGCCAAAGTTGACTGGGACCACGGAAGAGCCACACACCAACATGGAAGCCCACAGCCCGTCCACATGTGGTCCCCAGCCCCTCCCCACTCTACTGCAGAAGGCGCTCTGGGCAACTGCACTTCCTGCCGGTGTGTGGCTCCGCCCAGGTGCTTTCCTGGGGAAATCCACCGAGAGAGACCCGCAGCCTACGGATGAGTCTGGCACCAAGTCCCCTGCCCGTCCCCCCCTCACCGGCTCTCCTCCCAGCCGGTGCGTGGGCAGGGCCGGTGGCTGTGACATCACCACGCCTGGCTTACGGGAGAGTTCATGCCGAGGGGCAACCATCTGAACACATTAAGAGCTTTTGCTCTTTTTGTTTTTGCTGGTTAGGCGCCTCAGCTTTTTTGCTCAAGATTAGTGCTCTACCACTTGAGCCTCAGTCCATTTCCAGCTTTTGGGTGATTTATTAAATAAGAGATAAGAGTCTTGTGGACTATTTTCCCACCGAAACCATCTTTGAACCCTGACCCTCAAGATTTCAGTCTCCTAAGTAAGCAAAATGACAGGCATGAGCCATTGGCATCTGGCTAAAGCTTTTTTTTGGTCAGTCATGGGGCTTGTGCTTGCTAGGCAGCTACAACCCCAGGCTGGATGGCTCTCTCAGAAGAGCGTGGAGGGGTGAGGGGCCTGGAGGAGAGGCGGGCTGCAGTGCGGAGAGGAGAGCTCACAGGACAAAGCAAGCCATCGCTTGGAAGCACGGCCCAGGCTGACAGTGCACCAGCCTGGAGGTCCCAGCCACAAGCACCAGAGGCTGAATTCAGCTGGGAACCAGGGGGCCTGGGAAGCAGAATCGCACATGCCCAGAGGCTCCAAGGGGAATGCAGGCCTACCCTGGCCTCAGCTGTGCCCGCGTGCACGTGCAGACACACACACACACACACACACACACACACACACACACACACACCATGGACACAAATGTATGCTGGCATCGAGGAGCTGCTGAGCGGTATCTCACAGCCACGGTGACTAAAAGCATCCTCTAACTCTTCCAGCTCATTTTGAGGAATTTCAGCTCTTGGCATCTTTATTCAATTCATGTTCAGTTTTCCCTTATTTAAACGTTAACTTTTAAAGTACAGCTTGCTGGGTGCCAGTGGCTCACGCCTGTCATCGTAGCTACTCAGGAGGCTGAGAGCTGAAGAAGGCTGAGGGTCTGTCATTATTGCTGTTACTACAAGCTGGAACTTGTGAGCCCGGCCTTGGGCCTGCTCCCATCCCCAGTCACAGTACCTGCCCAGGCCCCTCACCGGCACGGTGCCCGCTAGCTGAGCTCTGATACCCCCTCAACCGCACAGGCCCTGAGCTCTGCTTCTCCAGAGAGTGAGAGCCAGGCACCCACCCCACCCACCCCGGCCCCTGCTGGCCGCACAGGGTGTGCCCACACCCACCAGCCACTCCCATCCATGCCCCCTGCTGCCCCAGGCCACTAGTCCCCAGCACAGGGACCCCAGACGCTTCCTGCGCCCAGGCCTGGACTCCTCCCCACGGCGGCCCCCTCACCGCCTCCTCCTCTGGCCTGCGGCCGTGTGACCACTCCAGGGTCCAGCTGGGGCGGCCCTTAGCAGCCCTGCCCTGGTACCAGCCCAGCGGGGTCAAATCCAGCCTGTGTGAAATGGATGAAAGGACCGTGAGCTCTGGGACCAGCAAGCAGCCCCCAGAAGGTCCTCGAAGTGAAGCTCATGGTCAGAAGTCTCACCCCAACTGACCACGTCTGTTTGGTCCCCACCACGGTCCAGACACAGCAGTGCCCCTCCCGGGGCAGGGCTGCCCCCCAGCGCTGCCTCCCGGTGCCCAGATGGCCTGGGGTAAGGTACAGCCTGGCAGGAGACCAGGGGGCATGTCCACTCCGAGGCTGTAGCACGCAGAGTGGACAGCGGCCAGCCAGGACGACGCAGACGTCCACCAATGGGTGAGGACCAGGCATACTGAGATGTGGACAGCTACCTCTCGGGGGCTCACAGATGGAAGAAGCACAGTGTCCACCGGGTACTATAAAGGTCGGCAGAACCCTGTTGTACCACAAGGTGGCGCCCAATCTCCAACAAATGAAGGGGCACCCTGCCCCCCCCCCCCAGAGGTGAGACCAGCTGGGTATGGGCTCAACCAATGGAGGGGGGGGGGGGTACTCAAAGGCCTTCCCCAGGAACACACACACCTTCACCAGCACTTACACAGCCCAAGCAAGCACTGGGGCCTTGTGACATTCTGGAACTGCTTTTCCAGTTTTACTCTCCTCAAATCTTATTAGGACTTCACAGCCAAGTCCTACCCAAGCTCCGACTTCCTGCCCGGGCAGACATCACTCACCAATCACATCACTCATCGACCAGCAGCACCGGGCAACATCACTTGTGGATTAACCAAGCAGAGATCACTTCCAGATCTCCAAATCCTCTTCCACGCAGAGACCTCCAGAAACTACACCACCCAGCACAGAAGTTGGCACTTGAATTGCAAAAACACTCGTCCATCCAGACCTAGTGTGAATCAAGTGACAGCGTGGCCTGCGCCATCGCCCACTTCCCCACCTCCCACCCCCAGCCTCTGCCACACACCTCGAGGACACAAAAGTAGGGCCACCACGGGCACATGACCCCTATGCGCATCACTAAGCGTGCCCCACGCAGTACACGAAAAGCCCGGCGCACCCCACAGCCGGGTGTCCCGGTGCAGCACACAGCTTCAACGGCGAATTCAGCAGCCGAGCCCAGAGACAGCCAGGAGTAACAACACAGCAGAGCCGTTCTTCACAGAAGGCCGTCATGATTGGTGCTCTGACCGGGAGAATTACACCCGATCACTCACACAAGGCACAAAGTAACAACAGTCCACATTCTCCTCATGGAAAGCCACCGGCACCCCAACCTGGGCACCCTGGATCCTGCCGGCCACCCTGCGCAGGCCCCGAGCAGGGCTCAGGTCCCTGAAGACCACCCGCAGCGAAGGCACGCGGGGAAGCAGCTGCTCCCTGTCCCGCGGCTGCGTCCAGGTCCCCGCGGAGAGCCTCACTGAAGCAGGGCGCAGAGGAACGCAGCCCTGAGCAGACGCCCTGCCCCGTGACGGCCACGGTGGCCAGCGCCGTCCCGAGAGGCTGCCGTGACCCAGACACAAGGGTACTTGTCTCTGCCTCCACCCGTGCCCGCGGAGTGCTCTGTCACGGCATGGTTGCTTCTTCCTCCTCCTCCTCCTCCTCCTCCTCCTCCTGCTCCCGCTCTTCCCCCACAGCCAGCGTGGGTCCTGGGCCGGCATCTCCTTCTCGGGGCCCAGCCCGAGGCCTGCCGTCACCTGGACAGCCGCAGGTGCGGGTGCCGGCCCAGCCTGTCCAGCAGCTCCTCCTCGCGGGGCTCCTCCAGCACGTCCCTGCGGAGCAGGCAGGCGGGGAAACGGCGAGCTCAGCCCGAGGAAGGCCCCTCAGGGTCCCCAGGGAGCTGGGCAAAGCCACATGACACACCCGGCTGCTACAATGTTTCTACATCTTGGTAAAAGCCCAGAGAGGGTGCTGGGCGGTGGGAGAGTCCTAAGGGGCCGGGCTCCATCCTCACAACAGCAATAAGTAAAAATGAGGTAGGGCTGGGAAGGTGGCTCCGTGGTAAGAATGCTTGCCTTGCATGCCTGAGGCCCTGGGTTCCATTCCTCAGCACCACCTAAGCAGAAACAGCTAGAAGTGGCGCTGTGGCTCAAGTGGTAGAGCGAGCGCTCGCCTTGAGCTGAAGAGCTGAGGGACAGCGCCCAGGCCGAGTTCAGGCCCCACGACCAAAAAAAAAAAAAAAGAGATAGATGGCATGGAAAGCCGGAGGATCCGCACTCACAGTGTCACAGGAGGCCACAACAGGGGGACAATTTCTAAGAGAGGGTGTGGCTCCCTCAGGTCACAAGACCAACCGAGGACTAAAGGGAGTGGAGCAAAGGGCCCTGCGGGCGGCCCTCCATCCTCACCTGAACAGGAGCTCCACTGAGCCCTGGCACGGGGCCTCCTGCGAGCCGGCCAGGGGCTGCTGGTGGCCGCGCGGGTCCCACCTGTGAAGGAAGTTCTGAAGAGGGAAAGGGGCGCTCAGCGGACCCCAGCAGCCGGGAGCCAGGGCCTGCGGGGGCCGCGGCCGGAGCCTGGATGGGCGGCTGGCTGCACCCTCAGCCGCGGCACCGGCAGGGCCTGGTCCAGCAAAGCTGCAGCCCGAGGCAGGCCGGCACAGGGACCCCAATACCTCAAGAAGCAGTGCCAGAAACAGGTTGACCCAGATGACGGAGGACACCAGCCACCAGAGCACAAAGTAGACCTTCGACCACCTGTGCGGGGACAGAGCCCCGGCCACAGTTAGCAGCGACCCACGCCTCCGCAGGCCGCCACCCCATGCCACCCCAGAAGCCCCCGGCCTTCATCCCCTCCACCAGAGCCCACGAGGCAGAAGCCCCGAGTCTCAGGGCGCCACCCCGCGGCGGGGAGGCGACTCACGGGCCTGAGTAGCGGCGGTAGGCATCCAGGAACACCTGCCAGTTGTTCACCACCATCACGTTCCACAGCGTGATCAGGGCAGCCTGAGGGGCAACAGAAGAGGGCGTGGCGGGCGGGGAGGGGGGTGAGGAGGGGGGCGGAGGGCGGGGCCCCAGGGAGGAGCGGGGCGGCCAAAGGGGACTCACAGCGAAGTCATCGAAGTTGTTGGCCCAGTACTCCAGCTGCTCGAAGCTTCCACAGGGTGCCGAGACATTGGCAGAGGCCAGACTGGCAACACATTGCCACCAGGTCACTAGCCAGGCCCCGGGGCCACACTGCTCGGCGCAGCCCGTTCCCTGGCCAGCCTGGGCCTCTCTGGCCCCCAGGAAATGCCATGTCCAGCAAAGGGCCACTGTGGACTCCAGGGGACAGGGCGCCGCTGCTGGGAAAGGCTCGCGGGACAGGTGGGATGCGATGGGACAGAGGAGAGGAAGGAACCCAGAAAAGGTCTTCATTCTGAAGGCTCTGCCTACCCCAGCCCAGCAGGCTGGCCCCTTGGCACCCCGGGGCCCCTCGCTACCTGCTGTTCCCCGGAGCCACGACAGCACCCCGAAACAAGCTGATCCCAACAATGGCGAATACGTAGTACACCACCTGGGGGGAGGCAGCTGCCGTCAGCGGCCCGCGGTCCACAGAGCCACACGAGCCACGGCCAGGCCCCGAGTCCCAGGCCGACACCTCTGCATCGAAGCACAGCTGCTCCCCCAGGGCTGGCCGAGGATAGCGCCCAGCAGGACCTAACACCCCCCAGGGGGCCTGGACACCGCTGCTCCGGGCACTGCCACACCCACTGCCGGCCAGTTCCCAGCTGGTTCCAGGGAAGGCCCGGGGCCCTACCGGGTCACAGGTCCCTCTGCTGGGTGGCAGGGCAGTGCCCGGGAAGGGCTTTCACCCAGCACACTGGGCCCCAAGCCCTAGAGTCCTCTACAAAAAGGGCCTGGTGCCAGAGTTCTTGCAGGCAGGGGGACCTGGAGGCGAAGTCGGGGCCTCTGACACCGTCCACGGCCACTCTCAGTGTGGCCGGGACCCAGAGATCACAGGGATAGGACAGTTACAGGACCCGGGGCCCGGCAGGGGAGTGCTGATGGGTGACAGTCCCCAGGTCCAGCTCTGGTCTTGCCCTGGGCCTGAGGTTCCTGGACTTCACAGCCCACTGCTGCCCCCCAGGACTCCTCCCGCCCCCTCCACACCACAGCCCACAGCCCGGCCACACCGCTCCCGGGCCTCACCACCAGGATCCCACCAAACGCCCGCAAGTTCTGCACCAGGCCGAGGATGGTACTGGCCACCACCGCCATAGGCTGTGGACAGAAGACAGCCCTTACTCCTCCTGCCCCACGAGGGGATGGCAGGAGCCACCGTCAGCCCTGATGGACAGCAGGTGACAGGCAGATGACCCCAAGCCCGGACACAGCTTGCAAGCAGCCATCCACACGGAATACATGCAGACATGTGCCCTGACACACCCAGACACTCCCAGTGTCCACCACATACCTGAGCACACCTAGACACTCACCCCAGGGCCATCCACACACACCTGGACACACCCACATCCGCTCACACACCCACGGACCACCTGCCCGAGGCCACACATGACCACAGTGGCTGCCAAGTTCCACGTCCCTCTGGAACCCACAGGCCTCGCCTGCCAGCTGTGGCCAGTTCAGTCCTTCTGTGTGCCAAAGGCTCCAGGGAACACAAACCTAGAAGGGGCAGGAATGCCCCAGGGCTCCAGAGAGCCACGGAGGCCCGCCACACAGGGGAGCCCACCACGCAGGGGGGGCCAAAGCCAGGCCTTCCAGCGGGACCAGCCTGACATGGCAAATAGTCCAAGACCACAGCTAGCAATCACGGGAATGTGTACATGTGACGTCACGTGTGCACACATGACGTCCTGTGTGACCTGTACATTGTTAGGTGGTGTCGACCTCTCCTCTGCCTCACACAAATGCACACACATGTGAGTGTGTGGGTGATGTGCACACACGATGATGCGCTGCGGCCACGCGTGAGGCCACAGGTGCCTGTGGGCCTGTGCTGTCACAATGTGTGTGCAGGCGTGCACACATGAACCCATGCGGATGCGTGTGCACACAATCCTGTGTGGGCCTCGTGCAAGTGCACGTAGTCTCGTGTGGATGTACACAATCCTGTGTGGACGTGATCTCGTGGGATGTGTGTGTATGCATGGTCCCCTGGGGACATGTGTGAACGTTATGTAATTGCACATGGACAGGTGTGTATGATCCCAAGTGATCATCTGCACGGACATGATCCTAACACAGACATATGTGTGCATGGACAGAGCCTCATACATGCACACAATCCTGTGTGATGTGCATAAGCATGATCCCAAGTGTGCACGTGTGTGTGCATGTGTGTGTATGTGTGCATGCGTGTGTGTGTGTATGTGGTACATGGGACACACTGGAGGGAAGAGGTGATCCCAGAGGACAGGGCCATCCATCCAGGAGGAGGACAGGGAGGAGGGCTGAGGCTCAGGTTCCCGCTGACGCTCTCAGCCTGACCTGGCTGCCCGCCTGGCCAGCCTTGCCCTCCCTGCCTCAGGGACATGACACTCCTGACAGCGCTGGAGAACCTGCAGTGGATCCAGTCCAACCCTCGTCCAACCCTCGCCCAAGGCCCTTCTCACCAATGCCCAGCAGCAGCCTCTCCTGGGACGGCGGAGGGGACGCCCATCCCTCACCAGACCGCCCTCCTCACCCCAAGCCCAGGCTGGTCACTGTTTCAGGGACAGTAGAGGCTAAGGCTGTGGCCTGAGCTGAGGAGCTGGGGCTCAGTCCCAGACCCAGACCACTAGCCCTAGAACACAGCACCATTCTGCAGCAGACAAGGCAGGGGCCCGGGCGGACACAGGCGGGCACGGGCGGGCACGGGGGCAGCCACGCACCTTCATTCTGGGGATGACCCGGAGGAAGCGGAACACGATGAGCATGTTCACCAGCCGCGTCAGGTCCCACAGCGACAGCAGACCCAGCACCTCCGGCTTCCTAAGGAGGCACGGGCGGCAGGTGGGGGGAGGCCGGGGAGACCCAGAGGATGAGGGACAGGTGTCTGTCAGCCAGGCATGCGGGACTCACTGCACAGACACTGAGAAGCTCCCGTGGGGGGGGCTGTCCGCTCACACCTGCCCCCCTCAGCAGTCCGGTCACAGCCACACATCCCGGCACAGCCCCCAGAATGCGGAGCAGACACCCCATTTACCAAGGAGGCCATCACGCCCAATGGGAGGCCCTGTTTCCTGACTTGGACCCCACAGCTGACCCCTGACCTGCCCTGTCTCCCCATGATGGCCTTCGTGGCTTCTCCACGTTTTCAGAAGACCCGGCTCCCACCCAGCAATGACACAAGCACAGGTGACAGCCCACAGTGCCTGCCCAGCTCCCTGAGCAGTCAGAAGCCCACGGGCTCCCCAGAAAGACGCCAGGGTCGAAGCTTGGGCCCTGCGCCTCTTCTCTCCAGCACCCCCAACTACTCTGCTACCCAGGACAAAAGCAGTGCAGGATCCGAGAGGCAGACCCCAGGGGCAGCGTGCGCCAGGCCTGTCCTGGCCCAACCCTGCCCCTCGCACGCTTGTGCCCAGCTGTGGCACACGGGAGCTGAGTCTCCTGGCACATGTACAGTGTCTACAGGGCCTCGTGGCACAGATGATGGCCTCAGGTCTTGAGACAGAGCAGCCTCAGCCTCAGCAGCAAAGGCTCTGACTCGGCCAGAGTCTGCCAGTCCTGCCAGGATCGCCTGGGGCTGGCAGAGCTCCCTCTGCATGGCCAGAATGAAGGCCAGGGGCGCAAAGAACAGCCCAACATCAGCCAACCAAGTTCAGGCTCGGGCCCCGCCCAGCAGCCGCAGGACCTCAGCCCTGAGCACGGGCGGCCTGCTCTGCTCAGCCCAGCCCGGCACGCCCGGACCCACACACCATACCATACCATGGTGGGGCGGGGGGGGGGGGGGGGGGGGCGACCCCAGATAGGAGCTGAGCCCTGTGGGCACCAGCAACTCAGAGGGGACCCAGCTAAGGGAAGGAAGGACTCTGCTGTCACGCTTCCCACCCGGGTCATGATGCTGTGTGCATGCACGCGTGCGTGGCCTGAGCGTCCTCATCACGTACCTGCCGGCCTGAGGGAGCGGGTACACAGCCAGGGCTGAGATCTGCAGGACCTTCAGTCACAAAAGGAAAAGCAGGCTTGGTACCACCGTGCTCCCCCGAGTGGGGAGCCCTCAGCCACCCACGGGGGCCTCGGAGAGGATCCGAGCCCCTGCCCGGGGTTCCAGGGGTCAGACCCTCTGACCTGGGGAACTGGGGATGGCACAAGCTACCGGTGACCACGCGCCCCAGGGCCCGCCCAGCGGACAGGGGACGCACCCCCAGCCCTCAAGCCCACAGAGAACACCGAGAAATCGGTGGCTTTGAGGCCAGGTCTGAGCTAGCTGGTGGCAGCTAGGGGTCCTCCCCAGCCCTCCCTCAGAGGCATAAATGACAGCCTGACCCCCTCAATCCAGAAGAGACCAGCACCAAGACCCTCCCCAGGGGCTCAGCCCCACACCCAGCAACTCTGGGGTTAAAGAGACCCGAGAGGGAGCCATGGCCGAGCCACAGGCCCTGCCTGTGGAGCCCACCAGAAGAGCCCGCCCCGCCCCGCCCCGCCCCGCCCCGCCCCGCAGGGACCTCACCAGCAAGAGGACGGTGAGGACGCCATCGAACACGTTGCTGGGGTAGGACAGGTAGCCGCGCGGGCCCAGGGCCAGGACCTTGAGCAGCAGCTCCAGGACGTAGTACAGGAGGAAGACATAGTTGAGAACCTGAGGAGCCGAAGGAGCAAGACGGTGGCCGGTCATCCTGCCCTGGGGCCGAGGCCACACTGTCCCCTCCCCCTGTTCCCTCCCCTCCCCACCCTCACACTTGAGGCCCCACACCCCTGCTTCCTGCTGGCCTCTCCTGGCCTTCCCAGCTCCACCCCATCCACCTCTCCCAGAAAAGGGCTGCGTGGGAAGCCCGCCGGCCCAGGCGGAAGGTGGCATTCCCGGGTACGCACAGTCCTGCTGTCACGCCACATGGAGACAGAGACTGCACCCGGCCTTACCCCACAAGAGGGGCTCCACAGAATCACCCCCAAAACAAGCCTAGAGACAGCACCTGAGATCCAGCCGCCAAAAGTCTATCCCCAACCATCACGCCACTGCTGGGCAGCTGGACAGGCGGCATTCACCGGGCGTTTGCCGGGAAGGGGGGACGGCCTTACCTGTCACTGCCAGCAGCCTTCAGAGCCCCTCGGGCCTCCACCAGGGGGAGAGTACAACACTAACCAGAAAATGCTGTTTTGTGGGGTGCTAGTGGCTCACACCTGTAATCCTAGCTACTCAGGTGGCTGAGCTCTGAGAATCAACAGTTCAAATCCAGCCCAGGCTGGAAGGTCTATGAGACTCTGATCTCTAATCAACCACCAGAAAACTGGAAGTGGAGCTATGGCTCAAGTAGGAGAGCAGTAACCTTGAGCATGAAAGCTTAGGAACAGAGTCCCAGACCTAAGGTCAAGCCCCATGACTTGACAAAAATAAAGAAAATGCCAATTTAAGTACAAATCAGAGGGGATTTGAACATCAGGCCAGAGGGCTGAGACTCCTCTTTTGGTGCCAGAACACTGTTAGCCTGCGTCTAATCCACAGGAACAGTGCACAGGCTCAGGGCCACCTTGCCACCGCTCTCCACACCCTCCTCTGCTCCCTGGCTGAGCTGCTGGCCTCACAGCCGGGCCCCGAGCTCACCCCCAGCACGAAGTCATTGCGCGCAGTGGGCAGCAGATCCTCGTCCAGCACCAGGAACACCTGCCGGCCAGAGCAGGGTTCGACTCACCAGGCCGGCAGATCCCAAGCCGAGCAGGGGAGGAGGTGGGGCGTGGGCAGGGAGGAGGTGGGAGGGGCGCCCTGGCAGGTGCACCTGCACTTACACCAATGGACACAAGGTTTCCCAGAGCTACGAGGTTCCCCAGGTAGTCGAAGTAGCGGTGGCTGAAGAGGAACTGGGCCGTGCGCAGGAGCGGGGTCCGGTACTGGGGCCTGGGCGGGTGCTGGGGCGGGAGCCTACACTCAGCCCAGGCTCAGACCGCCCTGCCTCTGCCTCTGAATTCCATCCCCAGCCTCCCTGCAGGTCCTGGCTTCTCCAACCCAAGGAAATGACCCCAAACGCAACCAGCTTCCCACAGAGGCCTCTCAGAGCCATTCATCCACCCCCGTTGGTAGAAATGACCGAGCAAACCCCACCCAGTGAAGTTCAACGGGTTGGCCACCTCAGTGCGGTCAGAGTACTGACCATACACTGGTCACCATGAGGCCCAGTCACCACCACCACCACCACCACCACCCCCCACCCCACCCCCACTCCCCCCCCTCCCCGCTCTCCACACTCACACAAGGCCAGGCTGGCGGATGGGCAGGAACCCCCAGAGCATCAAAGCCACAGCCCACACCAAATGTCAGCCACCTTGAAGCCACCAATGCACACTCCGCAGGCCACCAACACATGCTCTCCACAGGCCAATGAAATACATTTTCCAAGAGCCAAAGGACATCTATTCCCAACACCCATCCAGGGGCCTGGCCCTCGTCACAGAGTCCCAGGTGACAAGAGCTGTGCTGGCCCAGAGTGGCAGAGGCGGGCACAGGCCAGCCCCATGTACCTCTTTGATTACACTCTTGTCCACCTCATCAAAGAGTTTCTGGAACTCGTGAGCCGGCAGCAGGTCACCGTCGTGGGCGCACACCTTCTGCAGAGGGAAGCGGGGGTCAGCCAGGGCAGGGCAGTGGCCACAGCCCCGTCACCCCTCAGGCTGTGACCAGTGATGAATGACTCCCCACCTAGAGGGGCTGAGACAGAGGCGGGGTGGGCCTGGGGGGCTGCTACCTCCACAAGGGCCTGCTTGTGGGCACCGCCCAGCCGGGCTCTCTGGAGCACCTGCAGCACATCCTGGGGCCTCACCCCAACTCTGTGGGGAAAAAAAAAACCCACCCCATGAGCAAGGCCAGCCGGGCCCCTGGGCGAAGCCAGGCCCCTGGAGAGGCCAGGCCGGTTCTCCATCGCTTGGCCAGGCATCCACCCTAGGCAGAGCGCCTCCACCACGGGCAGCTACCACGGGTGGGGGTGGGGAGAGAGGGCTGCAGGCTCCTTCATCATCCCAAATCCCCAGGGAGACCCCGCTGGGCCCCATCTGGAGAGACAGGCAGACTCCGCTGCAAGGACAACAGAGCCCAGAACACAGGGGCCGTGGTGGTGTTCACAATTCCTAACCCAGCCACCCAACAGCAAGGGATGCTGGGAAATCTCTAAGGTGCACCCAGCCCCTCCCCTTGGAGTGGCCACAGCACCCCCCCCATCCCTGGGGAGAGACAGAGAGAGAGAGAGAGAGAGAGAGAGAGGCCCCACTCAGCCCAGCACTCACGCCTCGGGGACAGCTCCAGCCTGCCCTGCCAGGGAGGAGAGGACCTGGAAGGCAGCGAGGGTCCCCAGCCGCCGGCGGAACAGCGAGGTCTGCAGGGACTTCTGCGGGGAGCGGGCTCTCAGCCTGGGCGAGGCCCCTCCCAGCCGGACGGCCCCCTCTCGCCTCCCTCTCGGGGAATGGGCAACACAGCAGAGGACAGCCAGGGCCTCGGGGATAGTTCTCCAAGGAAGGCGCCTGGCCAAGGCCAGGTGGGGACCGGGCCTTGAGCAACCACAGCTCACCATGCTGCCACTGCAGTACCCAAGTACCCATTCTTCTCTGTGTATCTGGGGCCCTGGCTCCCCACACTAGGTATAGGCCCACTTCCCAGGGCAGCCTCCCTAGGAGAACATGGGAGGGCCTGGGAAGGACCTCTGGTCTCTAGGAAAACACTGCCCTCCCAAATGACACCTGGCGACACGTGCTCTAACCTCGGCTTGTCCCCTTTCCCCCCCCCCCCCACCCCATCTCCCCAGCCCATGCTGGGCAGCCTTGGCATGTCTGCTTAGCCTCCAGGGCCTACTGCGGACACAGCCCAGTAGGGGGCAGTGCATCTCACCATCAGGTAGCCTCGGAACTGATTGTAGATGATGGCAGTCAGCAGGTTCATGAGAAACAGGCTTCCTGTAAGGAGAAGGCCTCGGTCACAGGCAGAAGGGACCCAAGGGCCAGCCGACAGGCAGCAAGCGTGCCAGCAAGGAGGGCGGGGGGGCCAGCCTGTCAGTGCTCCCCACTCCGGCCATGCAGAGGGGGCAGGCCACCTGCTGGCCACCTGTGGGGCACTGCAGGCCTACCTAGTATGGCACAAGAGGGATGTGTGGCCACGGACCACAGACGGCAAGCCAGCAGGTAAGTGCGGGGGGGAGGGGAGCCAGGCTGCGGCAGGTAAGTGGGGGGCGGGGGGGATGGAGGTGAAGTTATGGGGGACAGGCTACAGCGGAGGTAAACAGTGGGGGCTGCTGCACGTGCACCTGAGCCTTGGGGTTCCATTCCCTCCGGAGGAGCCCAGGGCACTGAACACAGACCGTCCGCACTCACCGATGAGGGTGAAGACGATGAAGAAGACGGCATAGGCCCGGTTCTTGGAATAGGCAGGCGTCATCACTGAGGCAAGAGGAGCCAGAGCAATTGGAAAGCGTTCTGGGTCACTCCTCACAGGGAGAGCTGAGGGCCCCGCGGAGCCCCGGGCAGGTGCTCCCCAACCGTGAGGACGCTCGGCCCTGGGCGAGGCTGAAGCTAGCTGCCCTGTGACCCACCCCACCCATCCGATGACCTGCCCAGGCTGTCAGGACATGTGGGGGGCCAGGCTCGGCAGCGCAGCTGAGCCCAGGAGGGAAGGCCCCAGGCACAGTGGACTCGGGCCCTGGCCACAGCACATGACCACTGGGGGACCCATCAGCACCCCGCATGGCCAGCCAACACCCCAGGAACTCAGACACATGTTCCAGGTGGCACCCACCTCTTGGCTGGGCCTGGGCCGTGGCTGGTAAAAGGGATGGCCCCAGAGAGGCCACCAGAGGGGCACTGGCCACTGCCACAGCACGTCAGCACACTAAGACCACCATTCTTTCAGCTTCTCCGAGTAAAGAGACAGGCAAAGAGAACCAAGAAAGAAAGGAGGGAGTGAGAAAGCGAAGGAGATAAAGGGAAAGAAATAGGGAGGAAGATGGACGGGGAAAGAGAAAACAAAAAGAGAAGGGAAAGAAGGGAAGAGAGGAGAGGGACCAATGTCTCCTCCCATGGACAAAAGCCTCCAAGACCCCAGCCAGTTCCACCCCAGCCTCGCCAGGCGCAGCCCCAGGCTCCACACACACAGACACACACACACACACACACACACACACACACACACACCGTCAGGGTTGTTGGCAGTGGTCAACAGCACCAGGAGGGAGGTCAGTGCTTCTGGAAGGCTCCGGAAGTAGGCCAGTCTCTCCTTGTCCTGCTTTTCATCCTGAGAAGAGACAAACGTCTGGGTCTCCCCGCACACCAGCCTAGCCACAGGGTCCACCCACAGAGGGGCCCGCAGCCGCCCTCCATCTGCAGGCTCTGAGTGCCCAAAGTCTGGGCCTCCAGCCCAGGCAGACCCACCCACGGGCACACAGGCCGGGCCACTGTGCTTGTAGCCGCACACCCTGGGGCAGAGGCCCCAGCTGGCCTCCCGCAGGCTGCCACGGGCAGGTGTGGAGCGGGGAAAGAGCAGAGGGCACGTGGGACAAGGACCTAGGGAGAGCCTCGGGCCCCAGAGGCCTAGACCTCAAAGCTGTGGCTACCACAGCTGGCAGCCGGGGCACCGGTGCCCAGCTCCCCACACCACAGCACGCGTGCAGCATGTCTACCCAGAACCGCTGCACACACAGGGCTCTCCGTGGTGGAGCCACCCTGTCCCCACAAGGCAGGGAACCCCATACGCCTGGCTGTGTGACCAGGGCAGCAGGTGGTACTTGAGTCAGATCCCTGGATGCCCACAAACCACCTGATCCCCTGGGGTCCTTCAGGCTGAGTGCCGGCCAGGCCCAAGCCCGCCAGCGGACCCCTCCTGCAGGCCCCTCCTGAGCAGGGCAGGGCTGGCCCCAGCTACAGAATGGCACTGCCCCGTGTGCCCAGAGCAGGGATGCCAAGGCCAGGCGAGCGGACGGGGAGGAGATGCCACGAGCCACTGGCGTGGGGGCAGACGTCACCATAGGACGTTGTAGAGTGGGGACCAGAGCCACAGCTGGTGCCCCTGGGGACGCTGAGGCAGGCAGACACCCTGCCCCGCCCCGCCCCAGCCGTGGGCAGGGAGAGCCGGGACGGCCACCACCCCCCACATCCAGAGGGTCAGCCCCGAAACGAAACAAGTCTGCTCACTGCTCTGGGCTCAGGCTTCTGCTGCCAGAGGGAAGTTCCAGCACCTGAGCTAGCTCACAGACAAGGCCTCAAGCCGGGGGTGAGAGGCCTGCCCAGGCCAAGGGGAGCCCTGTCCACACTCGTCACCCAACAAGCCGCCTCCTGGTCTCCAAATCTCCTTCCCGAGGGGCTGCCCCTGACCCCCAGCCCTGTGGGTGAGCAGAGGGCACAGTGTCCGCAGTCCACCACCCGCACCCGCGGAGACACGAGGAAGAGCGACCTTCTTACACATCCCCCGTACACCAGCCCCCATCCTCGGAAATACATCCAAGGTGGCCCTCTGAGTAACAAGGTCAGCTCTAGAAAGTTCTTGGGCAACAAGGCAAGGGAGGTCAGGCCCTGTGAGCTGGGGGGAGGGAGAGGCAGCCCAGGTCACCTTCCCACAGCAGGCTCCGCCCAGATCCCCACCTGTCCCCCCGCCAGGCTGGCCCAGAGCCTGTGGCCAGGGACAAGGGACTCAGGGCCAGTTGGTCCTCCCAACTTCAGCCAAGGGTAGGAGCTGGAACTCCCACCAAGAGGACACTGGCTCCCACAACAGCACAGCCCTCTGTGGGGCAGAAGCCAGCCTGGACAAGAAGCCAACGAAGGCTTCCTGCCCCTGGGGGCTACCACAGGCAGCCACAGAGAGGCTGAGGCCCACCGCAGGGTCGCCTCACAGCCCAGCACTGCCCAACGCACACAGACACACACAGAGACACACACACAGAGGGACATGCACACACATGAACACAGACATACACATGCACAACACATCCACCAACACAGACATAAATATACAGATTCACATGCATACACGGCTAGACACACGCACAGAACATCCAACACATGTCGACATTCCTATCACACACACGGATATACTCAAATGCACATGCACACGCACACACGCACGCACACACACACTCAGGTAGAAGGCACTAGCCTTCTCCTGTTCTGCTCCCAGGAGGCACAGTCCAACTCCTATGTGCCATCCAACTCCCCCAGTCAGCAGACGCGCCCCAGGACAGAGAAGCAGAGACAGAACACGGCCCAGGCTGGACGACACGATGACCATAGACAGAGCCCAGGAAGGTGGCGGGTGGAGACAGCCACAAGCAACACCACTGGGGCTGAAGCCTGGGCTGGGCCGGGCCGGGCCGGGCGGGGGCGGGGTGGGGCGGGGCGGGGCGGGGCAGGGCGGGGCGGGGCGGGGCGGGGCGGGGCGGGGCAGGCCAGGCCAGGCCAGGGCAGGGCAGGGCAGGGCAGGGCAGGGCTGGGCCAGGGAGGGCAGGACTGGGCAGGGCAGGGCAGGGCAGGGAAGGGCAGGGCTGAGCAGGACTGGGCAGGGCAGGGCGGGGCGGGGCGGGGCGGGGCAGGGCGGGGCGGGGCAGGGCAGGGCAGGGCTGGGCAGGGCAGGGCTGGGCCAGGGAGGGCAGGACTGGGCAGGGCAGGGTAGGGCAGGGCAGGGCTGGGCAGGGCAGGGCTGGGCCAGGGAGGGCAGGACTGGGCAGGGCAGGGCAGGGCGGGGCTGGGCAGGGAAGGGCTGGGCGGGGCGGGGCGGGGCGGGGCCGGGGTGGGGCGGGGCTGGGCCAGGGTGGGGCGGGGCGGGGCAGGGCAGGGCAGGGAGGGGCAGGGCAGGGCTGGGCAGGGAAGTGCTGGGCAGGGCAGGGCAGGGCTGGGCAGGGCTGGGCAGGGCAGGGCTGGGCAGGGCCAGGGTGGGGTGGGGCGGGGCAGGGCAGGGGGACCCAGAGCCAAGGATGAAGAGAAGGATGTGGCATTGCCAATGTCCAGAGCAGGTGTGAGGAAGCTCAGGGAGGTGGTCAGGCAGGGTGAGGAAGGGCAGCCCCTCAGAAGAACACACAGGCTGGGGGGAAGCTTCACGCCGCCCCCAGTGAGCAGCCGAGCGGGGAGGAAGAGGCAGCCGCAGAGGACGGAGCCCGGGAGGGCGTGTGCGGCAGCGCCCTGGCAGGCGGTGGCGGTGGCAGCACTGGGCTGAAATGGGGCCACCGCGCTCCTGGTTCTGGGTCTCAGGCTGAGGGCCCTGCCCACCTCATGACCCTCCACAAGATTCGGCCCCGTCGGCTGCCAGGCAGCGGCCCAGGCAGACAGCCCGAGGGCAGTGCCACCTCACCTTCTCGCCCATGGTGAAGAGCAGCATTCCCAGCACGGTGAAGAGGCCCAGGTGGATGGCCAGCAGCAGCCCGACGCTGGGGAGAGGCAGGCATTCAGCCTGGCGAGGGGCAGGGCAGGCCCTGGGCCACTGTCCTGCCCGAGACGGGGTCCCTGGGACAGAGCCAGGCACTGCCGTCCCTGAGAACCTGGGAGTGGGCAGATGGGGCCGGGCTGCCCGGCCTGGCGTCCCCTGTGGAGGAACGAGGTGACCACACACACAAGGCCCAGGGGGCTCAGGACCGAGAGGAAAGGCCACTCCATCATCTCGGCTGGACTGGAGGTGGCCACCACGGAGGGACTGAAGGCAGAGGGAGGGCACGGATGACTTTTCTGAAAGAAGGAAGGGGGCAGGGGGAGCTGGGGGGGACGCTGGGTTGAAAGCAAGAACTCCTGCTGAGGACAGACAGCATGAGGCCCACGGGGGGGGGGGGGGGGGGCTGGTGTGGGCACCTACACAGGAAGCCGCAGGGATGCAGGGAGCAGGGCAGGGGGCGGTGGCAGCCACAGCAGGACACAGAGGACAAAGACCAGCAGAAAGACTTCCCTGGGATTCAGGGACCCCAGCGGGGTCTGCAGCAGGGCCTGTAACCCCACAACGCTGCCGGCCACCGCAAAGCCTGGGCCAGGGCAGCCTGCGGACGCAGTCCTGTCCACCACACCCCCAGGCAGAGCACCTGAGTCCCAGGCACCCAGCACCACCCACCTGGCCATTTCGGGCAGTGACCACCGGATGCACTTCAGGGTCTTCTTCATCATGGAGGAGTTCTGCAGCAGGAAGAAGGGGCGGAGCAGCCGGCGGATGCGCAGCGGCTGGAAGAGACCCGGAGAAGCCCACGGACTGGAAACCACTGGGTTCCCAGCGGCCTTCACCCGTCCCACAGCAAGAGCCCCTGGAGGCCGGAGAGCCGCCAGCCACGGCGCTGGCCTGCCCCTCTAGGCCTGACGCCGTTCTTCTCGCCCTTGCTGACAGGTTTAGAGGCCGACATGCCCCCGGCCGCTCCCTGCCACGGGAGCGGACTCCATGGCCAGCCCTGCGGGCAGCTGGGTAAGTAAGCTCACTGCAGGGTCTCAACACGCTCTGGGCCGGTGGCGGCTGTGTGTGATGAGAGCCCAGGTCAGCACTGTGGGACCGGCCAGGCCAGGAGTGGCAGTCAAAGCAGCCCAGACGTCGCTCTGGCATCTCCCCTAGCCAACAGGACGCCCCAGGACCCCGGCCGGACCCAGGTCTCAATTCCCATCCCCAGCTGCTGGGACCCCACTGGTGAACAGCGCGAGATTCCCCAGGGCCACCCCAGGGCCCACGCCCTGCACCCCCCAGCCCATATCCCTGCCCCACAGAGCCTGAATCCCCCCCCAGAGCTGCCACACCACCCACCTCCTGACAAGCCAGGCCCAGGGACACCGTCCAGTCCACCAGGGACACCACCAGCACCACGAGGTAGGCCAGCAGCCACAGATTCTTCTGGAATTGGGCCCGGCCCACCAGGTAGCCCTGTAAGAGACGGGGACGGGTGAGGGGTGCGTGGCAGGCAGAGGACCCCGGCTCTGGTGGAGGGGGATGGGGAGCAGTGCGGTCTCCATGGGCACAGGGCACAGCGCACAGCCCCAGCTGGGACCCCGAGCAGCTACGGTGCACCCTCAAGTATGGCACGGGCCTCCCTGCCCTCGGTTCCTCTTTTGGTTTATTTTGATTGCTACTATAAAGGTGAGATGCAAACGGGTTACCGTGAGGGAGTTTGGAACAGACACATGCCCGCTCTGCCCCTCCTAACTGCCTCCCCCCTCCCTGGAGCGGCCACCCCAAGGCCCCAGCCTGGGCACCAATGCACCCCTCACCTCCAGCCTCTCCAAAACAACTCGTGGTAACTTCCTAGCAGTTCAGGTTCCAGTTTAAAAACCCCTAATCTGCCAACCACATGATGGGCTAAAAACACGAAGTGAGGAACTGCCCGGAGCCCACAACTTCACACACACACACACACACACACACACACACACACACACACACACACACACACGTACTCATATGCACCTAGCACTGAAGCCCCCTCCCCTATCCACCCCTTACCCCCGTTTCTAGAAGGATCCAGTCACAGGTACCCAGCAGCCTCTCTGTGACAAGAGGTCCCTCCTTGCCCTACATCCTCTCCACCGGAGCCAGCAATGTGGGCCATGAGGAGAGGATCCTAGTCTTCATGGGGCCGCTGCGGCCAGCCTCCATCACCCCACAGGCTGCCAGCCTGGTGGCACAGCTCATACCCAGCATTGTGGGGAGGGAAAGGAGCTGCATCCTCTGCCCCAAAGCTCAGACACAAGCAAAAGCTTGGGCCAAAGAGCAAAGGCAAGAGGAGCAGCAGGCAGCCCCCGGCATCGGAACGAGCAGAAGCGGTCAGGGACCAGTGGGGCACAGGCCCACCTTCCTCACCTTCACGGAGACATCGGCCACGAAGAGCAGCAGGCAGAGCGCCTCCACACCTTCAGTCAGGCCACAGGGCGGCTCCCAGGGCCGAGAGCGGTAGCGCACGTCTGCTGTCCGGGTGAACGAGGAAGGTGTCTCCACAAAAGCCAAAGCCAGGATCAGGAAAATGGCGGCACTCAGAGCCCTGGGAAGGAGACAAGCCAGATTAGAGGGCAAGTACAACTGCTTGGGGCCAGGAAGCCCCCCCCACCCTCCCCACCCCTGCAGGCAACTGCCCAGAGGGCAAACTCCAGCCCTTCCCGGCTGGGTCCACCAGCAACTGCACAAACATCACTGGATCGGGCCTGCACAGGATGGAGCTGCGTCCTAGCCCCAGGCCTGGCTCCTCCCCTGAAGGGGATCAGGGCCACCTCTGCACCCAAACAGACAGACTTGGCACCCCCAAACAGGTGAAGCCAGCCCACCCCACCGAGCAGGTCTTCAGAGACCACCATTCCCGCCTTCTCACCGCTGGCACCAGTTTGAGTAATAGCAGCGGTACAGCCACAGCGAGCTAGAGTCCATTCGGTGGTAGATGGAGCGGTACTGGAGGGAGGGAGGCCGGGCAGGGCGAGTGAGTGGGGGATGGGCCAGGGGCCTCTCAGGGCCGCACCCCCCATGTTCCCTGGTTCTCTGGTTTGTGCCCCCTTACCACACACAGCCAAACACAGCACTGCAGCCCCCCCAAGAAAAGCCCAATGGAGGGGACAGGTGGGGGTGTGAGGGCAAGTCCCTGTCGGCAGAGGACAGACCCCCTCCACCATCACATACCACACCAAGCTCTCCCCCCAGCCGGGCACCCCGGAAGGCGGGTGCCTGAGGGGCACGCAGACAGCAGCCATGCCCACTGCCTAGCGAGGCCTGCCCCCACCCGCATGTACGACCTGGCTCGGGGAGGCCCGCCAGGCTTCGGTCAGCGGTCCATCAATGAGACCCTCGGAAGATGGTGAGGACTGAGAGCCGGGCCGTGAGGCCCCGCAGGCCAGCGGCTGAGGCTCCGCCCTGGGTCAGCGAGGAGCAAGGGGGCACGCACAGCCAGCATGGCGGCCACCACCCACCTCAATGGCATCTTCAATGAAGACCACAGCCTGGTTGATGCAGAGGTCCTGGCCAGCGCCGGCACCTAGGGGCAGACGGGGCAACATCGGGTGACCAACCCAGGGGCCCGTGGCCTCGCCCGAGGTCCCCCACCCTGTGGTGGGGCACGTGCCACCCGCCCAGGGTGAGGTCCCAACAAGGTGGGGGGCACCCATGTGCCCAGGGTCCCGGGCCTGGAGCAGGGGTGGCCCTGCCTCCACCGCTGCCCCTGCCCAGGGGCACGGTGCGGGGGGCACGCGAGAGGCGGCAGCGTCTGCAGAGCACTGAGCTCGGGTCACAGCGGGCTCTTCCACCCCCATGGGGACGGCAGGCATCTCCGCCTCTGCCCCGTGGGCATCACCAGCCGCCTGCCTGCCTCCCAGAAGCAAACCCTGAGGCCCAAGGCCCCACTCGCTCCCTCGCACCATGCCACACCCACATGGTGTCCAGGGCAGAGCCCAAGGAAGCCCAGCCCCCCCATCCTCTGCCAGCCCTTCCTAGGCAAAGAGCAGCCGTCACCTGTCAACCCCACCCACAAAGTGGTTCTCACAGCGCAGATGGCGGGCCTGCTCCTCACACCTGTGTTCCCCAACATCAGGCCTAAGCTCACTCCCCACCTGGCTCTACACTGGCCCCCGCACCATCTGCATCTCGCGCAGCCCTGGTGTGCGCCAACCTCGCAGACAGTCCTCAATAGGGTAACAAGGGGCGGGGGGGGTCCTGCGCTAACGCTTTGCAGAGCGTCCATACAACCCCACATCCGCGGACACGTTCAGCAAAAAAGGTAGAAGACTTCCTGAGCCAGCAACAAGAAGAATCACTCTCCTTCCTCAACCTTTGGCCAGGGCCTGTCCTCTGCTGGGGCTGAGCCAGGAGGACCTGGGGTCCCCTGAGGAGTGGGCACCCCACAGCAGCACTCCCCGCCCCCACACCAGCAGGAAAGTCCCGCTGCAGGCAGAGGAGCCCAGGGCATCCCCCCCACCCCATCTCCCGGCTGTGGGTGCTCCCAGGGGAGGCTGAAGGAGCCATTCTCACAAGCAGCCCGGCCGAAAGACAAAGACAACAGACACTATCATGAGCCACACGGCCCAGCGCCGACTTGCGTCTCGGATCACACGTGCCACCCACTTCCTCGGCCAGCGCCGGGACCAGCAGGCACGGCGGCATTCCCACCCGGCCCAGCGCCAGCCCCCTCCATCCCCTCGCTTGAGGCTCAGGACGTCCATCCCCTTCTCCTGAGACTCAGCAAGGCTCCGCACCTGCCCAAGCCCACCAGGCCTGCAAGCGGCAGCCCCAGAAAGGCACCCCTGTCCAGACACAAGGACAGGGCATAGGCTGGGAGGAAGGATGTTCCACCCACACGGGGGCCACCGGGAGCTTGGGGAAGGGCACAGGGGGGCGTGGGGCCACGGGCCATGTGGGCCTCCACTTCCTCACCTCCTGCCAATCCTGTGGCCACCCACTGCGGATCGCCCGGGGCATACACTGCTCACCCAGCCCAACCCGGGAAGGAGGCAGGACCAGCGTGGGAAGCAGCCAGGCATGAAGGGAGGCACCCAGAGGCAGGGTGTGACCTTCGGCAGGTCTCGGGACCTCAATTTCGTCATCGGTAAATGGAGACGGGGGTCCTGCCGCCTGGAACCCAGCACCTGATTCCTCTGGGGTGGGCCCGTCCCCAGCCCTCACCCTCCCTGGATTCAGCAATCCCTCAGACCACAAACAGGAAGGACAGAAGGCAGCTGCAGGAGAGAGGAGGGGGCTGCTGCAGGAGGGCCTGTGACAGAGCCCCGGCCCGGCCCGGGAGCTGGGGTCCAACGGCACCCCAGGGACTCCAGGATCTCCCTCCAGACACCTACTGGCGCTTTTCTCTGGGTCTGTTTCCCCACGAGAAACGGTGGGGAAAGGTGGGGGGAAGAACTGGAAGCCGGTGGCTCCCGCCTGTCATCCTAGCTACTCAGGAGGCTGAGATGCGAGGACAGAGGTTCGAAGCCAGCCTGGGCAGGAAAGTCTGTGAGACTCTTACATCCAATTAACTACCAAAAAGCTGGAAGTGGTGCCGTGGCTCAAGTGGCAGAGCGCCGGCCCTGAGCGGAAAAGCTGGGCTCAAGCCCCAGGGCCTGGGTTCAAGCCCCAGGACCGGCACAGAACGGAAGGCCCCAGCATGACCGTGGGCCGGGGTCCGGGGTCCGGTTCGCGCTGCTCGCCGGGGCCGGGCGCGACCCCGGGCCCCGGGGACGGGGACCCCCTCCCCGCGCCCCTCCGACCCCCGCGCCCCGGGGCCCTCACCCCGCTGTCACTCACCCGGGCCCACCTGAGCGAACTGCCCCGGCGGGAAGTCGCTGCTGCCGCCGCTACGGGCCCGGCTCAAAAGAGGCTCGAGCTCGCCCCGGGGCTCCGCCATCGGCCGCCACGCGCCGGACCCCGAGCCTCCCCCGAGCGCACGACCCGCCAGCGCCGGGCCCCACTGCGCAGGCGCGCGGGCCGCCCGGGCGCCGGGGAGGCGGAGCGACCGCTCCGTGACGCCAGGGGATGCCCTTCGCTGCTAGCCAATGAGGACGGAGCGCTCCGGAGCGGAGCTTAACTTCCGTCCAATCAGGGAGGAGCCAGCCCCGAGGGCTTGGGTGAAGGCTGAGCCGCCGAGCGAAGCTGTCCGGCGGTGGCCACAGGACCGGAAGCGCGTTTTGCAATGCCGGTTACCGGGCCCTCCCGGGCCTACCGAGTCGGACACTTGTTCTGGCTGGCCCGCCGCCCGGCCGCCGAGGTCCACCCCGGATCCGGGAGCGCCTCACTTATTTACTTACTTATTTCTCTTTTTTCTTTTTTTGGAGGTTCATTGGAGAGAAGAATCGCAGGCTGCCCAGGCTGGTTTCGAACCCTGATCCTCATGAACCATGAACCGCGATCCATCCTCTCAGCCTCCTGAGTAGCTACAATTACAGGAGTGAGCCACCAGCTCCCGGAGTCCAAGAATGAATTTTAGCAGATAATTGATGTTGTTCTTGAGATCGCCAAGAAGTGCTTCTCCAGAGCCCTGCACCAATCATTAGCAACGTGAAAATCACTTTCCAGAAGCCACCGAGCCTCGCCTAGGTGAGCCTATGAGCTTGTATTACTGTTCTACTGCTGTAAAGACACATGATCGCAAACAGCATAAAACGAATCAAGTGCTGGACGCTGGTGGCTCACACCTGTAATCTATCCTCGCTACTCAGGAGGCTGAGGTCTGAGGGTCGGTTCAAGGCAAGAAAGTCTCCGATGACCTACCAGAAAGACGGAAGTCACGCTGTGACCCAAAGTGGCAGAGCATAGCCCTGAGCAAAAAAAAGCTCAGGAACTGTGTGCCTGGGCCCTGAGTTCAAGCCCCACAACCTACAAAAATAAAATAAAATTAAAAAACAACAACTCCTAGTTGTTCTGTATCAGTGCTGGAGGTCAGAAGTCCAGCACGTAGACTAAATTCCTGCCACAAGGCCTCAGGCAGGAAAGATTAGCTCACCCTGGACACTGACTGAATTCGTTTCCAGGGAACTGGGATCAGGGTCCAGGTTGACTTGCCGGGAGTAGCCCCACCCTAGAGACCAGAACATTCCTTCACCCAGCCACCTGGACCGTAAGGAATCCTCACATTGCCAAAGAGACGTCTCCAATCTCTCTGACTCTCCTCTCCATTGTTAGCTCATGGGGTGTTATATGCAAAAACCACTTTTACACACACACAGAGCTCAACAGTGTTAAAGGCATTGACAGGGTCACACAACTAATATCTCCATCAGTCCCCACAGATTTTTTCGACTTGAAACTTTATCCCATTCCTAAAATTACAATTACAATTGAGTTCAACTCTTTTTTTTTTTTTTTCTGGTAGCACAAACCAGAATTCCCCCTTCTTTCAAAGCCTGAATACTTAAAGGGTGAACACATGCAACAGTGGTACTCACTAGATACTTTGTTGAAAATGAGCTATACAACTTGTGAGTGACTGGAGGGAATACCTGGGGGAGAAGGAGGGAAGGGAAGCATCCAAAAAGAAATGTACTTGTTACCTAATTTATGCAACTGTAACCCCTGTGTACATCAACCTTTACAACAACAATCAAAATAAAAATAATGAGTAATGTTCTATTACCTGTGTGTACCGTGTTTTGCTTATTTATACATGCAGCAGCAAGTTGTCTCCACATTTTACCTGCTTTCTGTTTTGTTTTGTTTCCTTTTTGGCAGTACTTGGGCTTGAACTGGTGCCTTGCACCTGCCACGCTGGTGTCCTACTGCCAAGACACACACTTTGCTCTGTTTGGGTTTGTGTTGTTGAATTTTAGGAGTTCTGTATATATTCTGGATTTTAATCCTTTATCAGGATATGATTTGCAAATGATATTTCTCCTATTCTGTAGTTTATTTTTTAGTCTACTGATATTGTCTTTTGATGGGCATTTAAAAAAATTTCCTCCCCTTCCTCCTCCTCTGCCTCCTTTTCTTTTCGCCTGTCCTAGGGCTTGAACTCAGGGCCTGGGCACTGTCCCAGAGCCTCTTAGTGCTCAAGGCTAGCACTCTACCACTTGAGGCACAGCGCCACTTCTGGACATTTTTTTTTAATGTTCATAAAATCTGATGTGCCTGTTGGAGTTGTACATGCCTTTGGTGTCACATTCAAAAATCATTGCCAAAGCCGGGCACCGGTGCTCACACCTATAATCCTAGCTACTCAGGAGGCTGAGATCTGAGGATCTCGGTTCAAAGCCAGCCTGGAAAGGAAAGACTGTGAGCCTCCTATCTCCAATAAACCACTAGAAAGACAGAAGTGGTGCTGTGGCTCAAGTGGTAGAGTGCTAGCCTTGAGCTGAAGAGCTGAGGGACAGTGCCCAGGCCCAGAGTTCAAGCCCCACGACCAACCAAAAAAAAAAAAATCATTGCCAGACCCGTTATTGTGAAGCTTGTGCCCAAAGGTGTCATCTAAGATGGCTCTACTTTGGGGGTGGGGAAAGGAGAGGAGGAGTTTGGACTCACAGTTTCATGATCCCACCTGACTTGCTCAAGGCTTTTGCTCTACCATTTGAGTCACACCTCCACTTCTGGCTTTTTGGTGGTTATCTGGAGATTGTCTCACAGACTTTCCTGCCTGGGCTGGCTTCAAACTGCGATCCTCAGATCTCAGCCTCCTGAGTAGCTAGGATGACAGGCGTGAGCCACCAGTACCTGGATTAGAGCATGCATTGTTTTTAAATTTACTTTATTGTTATTATAAAGGTGATGTACAGAGGGATTACAGTTACAGAAAGGAATGTGCATTTTTAAACCCCACAAAAAGATATATTTATTTTGAGAAAATAAAAGGAAATGAGTGCCCACAGCACCCTGTAAAAGTAGGATGTCCTCAATAAAGTGTGTTTAATTAATTCCAGCTAAAGAATTCCTGGGCCACTCAGCTAGCTCCCTGGGGGAGGAGTGGAATGGATTTGCCAGTAATCATTCCTTTAGGGCTCACATAAGAGATCTTCACAGGACACAGAAATGAACTGTGAGGAACAGCATAGCCCCACAAGGGGGCGCTGGGTCTCAGCACAAAGCGTCCTGTCCCTGGTTCATACAGGAAGTCCCTGTTTAGGCGCACGCACAGGGGCTGCGTCTAGCTTGCCAAGCAGAGCTTGGCCAAACACTTAATGGGTGTCAGCACGGGCAGAAAGGGCTGTCTGGGGTCCTAGGTGTCTTCAAGGCGTCTGGTTGTGGATGTTGGTGGATCTCATAGTCCTGGATTGTCAAAACATGCCAGCTTTGCTTCTGTGGGGCTGTCCAGTGGATCACAGTCCTCTGTGCCTCAGTTTCCCCCTCTGCAAGGTGTAGTTGTAACTCCACTGTAACTTCGCTCACTCTGTGAAGAGTGAAAGGAATCTCTCCCGCCACTTGGGAAGCTGGGGGCAGAGGCTGGCGCTCCAGCAGTGATGCAGGCCAGGCCCCGCTCCAGCTGACCCCTGGGTCCATTTGACCTGGGAGGTCAACCCAGCCAGCCCTGCCCTGCAAGACGAAGCACACACTGAGCACCTACTGTGTGCCAGGCTCTCTTCAGGAACAGGGGTCTGCATTCCACCGCCGCTGCTTCCACTCCGAGGCTACTCCAAGCACAGTGTGCTCCTCTCTGAGCCTGTTTCCCCTTCTGAAAAGAGGGGAGAGGATCCCTCCAGCCACACAGGACAGTAGGAAGGATTCAAACTAGAAGATGCGTGTCCAGGGCAGCCAGTGGATGGCAGCATCCCTCCAGGAGCAACCTGAACCCCCAGAACGCTGGTCCAGGGAGTAGACAGGACAGGGAAACTAGCCAGCCAGTGTTGGCTCACACTAGTCATCCTGACTACTCAGGAGGCTGAAATCTGAGGATCATAGTTCAAAGCCAGCCTGGGCAGGAAAGTCCCTGGGACTCTTATCTCCAATGAACCAGCAAAAAGTCAGAAGTGGAGGTGTGACTCAAGTGGTAGAGCCTGGGACAGTGCCCAGGCTCTGAGTTCAAGCCCCAGAACTGGCACAAAAAATAATAATAAAATAAACAGGACTCTGGGAAAGCCTCCAGCGTGTACCCCTCGGAGGGAGCAAGTCTCTCAGGCCTTCTCAGGGGTCGCCTGACCCCATGTGTCATTCCCAGCTGCCCCCGGGGTGGAGGGCACCATCACGGATAGGGAAACTGAGGCTAGAGCTCTGCGATGTCCTCCCTCAAGGCTGCATTGCTCAATGGGTCACAGGCACAGTGACATGAACCTATCCCAGATCTGTCATTGCCTGGTTCCACAGCCATGAGCCCCAGGGGAGGAGACTCCGGAGGAGAAGCTGCCTGGGCTCACGTGCCAGACAGCCGGCAATGCCACACGAGGCCTCGGCACTGGCCTCCTCCTGCACAGGCCAGATGAAGCATCCCGGCAAAGCCTAAGCCAGCGCCTTGCAGTGTAAGTGAGAAACGGGGGTCACTGTTGCATGGAGACCCCCCTTCCCTGCCACCCCAGGTGTGTGATCGGAGCTGGGGCCCCATAAGGGGGCCGCCTGGGGGTCCCTGTGCGTCCTGCAGCTGAGGAGCAGTTCTTTAGGGGGGGACCCAGACACGGCTCAGCCCAGAGAGCGTTCCCTGCCCTGGCCAGGCCTCTGCTGGAGCTTTGTGTCCTCGAACTTTCTCCTGGAGGTTGTACCCCAGAGAGTGCCGGCCCAGCCAGCATCCCGGTGGGTGAGGCACCCCAGCCTCGGTGGCCCAGTCCTCCTTTGTTTTGGGGTGACAGGCAAGGCCCCGGGGGGATGGGATGGAGGAGAACAAACAAGGAAGCACAAGCCCCAGCTCTCCCCACCCCACTGCCCTGCACAGCCACCCATGGCGGCAGAGCTGGGTTTCCCGTCCAGCCACATGAACAGTAAGTGTGCGTTCACGTAGGTCTCTCTATGGAGGTAGCACTACCGGTGTCATTGCATTCATTGAGTACCTAGAAACTGAGGG